TTAAAAGTACCTCTCGCAATGCATCTGAGCTACAGCCCTCGATTATAGTAGTGATCCCATTTCATTTTGAAGAAAATCATCCACCCCTAAGGGTGGCTGATTACGCATGAACATTCATTTTTATAAATAGCGCCTAAATTTTACTATGAGGAGCAGTTATTTTAATGGTTGATTTTGCTATTCACCAATTCAAGGCGTTTTTCTCTCTCAATACACTTTGAGTAGTAAAAACCGATTTTTATTATCTCCAGTGTCAAGTCCTGTATGGGATATTTCAATAAAACTTGGCAAATAGACGTAATTCCACGTACTTTTGAGGTCGGTTTTTTTAGTACTCTGTACTGAGATTATGTAATCATTATTTGATCTTTCTGAGACATATTGTCTACTCTACAAAATTATTTACACCGAATTTGTTAGCACCTACAACTACAATTTGTTGACTTCCTAAATCTATTTTTGGGCAATTTTCCGACTCACTATTACAACCTATACTCACAACATCAGTGTTGGAACCTACAAAGCATCCTACACCGCCATTCGTGCCTTATCAACACATAAACTGATTGCACATCATTCCATTTATGACCCTATTTATTGCGTTTATTTTTTACCTTTATTTCAATGTCTTTCACATATATACCACCCTTGTAAACATACAGCTAGATACAAAAAAAAATATTTGCTCTTTTCAAAAACCTTCACTTTAGTTCGTTCGTTCAATGTCATTCCTTTTCTTTCGACGAATCATACGTTAAATTCATCATCTCCTGCAATTCTTTATCAGATGATGCAAGTAGTAACTTGATCATCCGCGTACAAAAGGCATTCAACAATGGATTCAACCATTGTCAAAGATCTACCACTTTCCACGTTGCACCAACGAACCTGTCAGCATTGATTGTTGATCCTAACACATGACCTTGAGTCCACGTGGAGCGATTTAAGCGTACACGTTAAATGCGCACTTAATTAGTACATAGGGCGCACTATAAGTTTCCGCAACTAGCCACTTACATAAACAATATTTAAACGGTAATTACAACAATTGAAAATGAAACTCTTTGCCTGTACAATACAGTTTGTTTCTGTCTGTCTTCTGCCTGTCACTTGTTTTTACATTATGACGTCATTTCAGAAATTGGTTGTCTACATCACCATGGATTTAACTCGTGAAAATTTTCGTAGTATGATTTTCTACGACTTTAAGTGTAATGTAACAGCTCAGCGGAGCTTCGCTCGGCTTCAAACTGCTTTTGGCGATGAAGCACCATGTAAGACGACTATTTATAGCTGATTTGCAGAATTCAAACGCGGTCGTGTGAATCTCAGTGACGAATTTCTTGATGATCCACTGCTGTGAACAACAAAAACATCTACGCTGTGCGCCGTATGATCACAACAGAGAGACATGTGACATAAGGTGAGATTCGGGCATCATTAGGCGTAGGCATGAGTCAAATACAATCAATACTACACAAACATTTGAGTCTGAAAAAGCTGTGCTCTCGGTGAATCCCACACAATTTGACTGAGGCTCAAAAAATGGATCACGTCACTTGGTGCAATGTCATGCTTACCAGATTTAATGAAGGGGCGTCAAATTTGGCGTGAGGCATAGTAACAGGTGACGAAACATGGATTTATAGTTACGACGCCAAAACAAAGCAGCAATCGACCGTATGGGTCTTTCGAGATGAGCCGAAACCAACCAAAGTGGCACGCGTGCAAAAAGCCTCTAAGCGGATAATTGCTTCTTTTTTTAATAAAACTGGACACGGGATAACTGTTGCTTTGGAGAATCGTTGTACCATGAATAGTGATTGGTCCATGACCATTTGTTTGCCGGAAGTTATTGACAAACTCCATAAAAATAACCGTAAACGCCGTATCATCTTGCACCACGATAATGCCAGTTCTCACACGGCCAGACAGACAAATGAATTTTTGAAGGTGAAGAACGTTGACCTTATGAGCCATCCTGCGTACAGTCCCGACCTGGCACCTTGTGACTTTTATTTATTTCCAAAACTTAAAAACCATTTACACGGTCAACGATTTTCATCACCTGAAGAGGATGTCGAAGAGTATGAAAAATATGTTTCAGAGATTGTCACGGAGGAGTGACATAAATGTTTTCAAAATTGGTTCATTCGTATGAAAAAGTGCATTAACGTTAACGGAGAATATTTTAAGAAACAATAAATTCATTTCTGACCATTTATAGTATTTTTTTCTTATTCATTCCGGAAACTTAAAGTGCGCCTCATGTCCAGATATGTCACCGAATTATATATTTATCAATTTGTTATCAAAGTTATTATTTATTACCAACGAATGCGTGCGTGTAATATAGGTTACATGCTTATACAATAATCTCAGTGCAGAGTACTAAAAAACCGACCTCAAAAGTACGTGGAATTACGTCTATTTGCCAAGTTTTATTGAAATATCCCCTAGTTCGCCACTATACAGGACTTGACATAAAAATAATAAAAATCGGTCCTCACTACTCAAAGTATATTGAGAGAGAAAAACGCCTTGAATTTAAAATAAATGCTCCTTAAGTAAAACTTAGGCGCTATTTATAAAAATGAATGTTCATGAGTGATCAGCCACCCTTAGAGGTGGATGATTTTCTTCAAAATGAAATGGTACCACTATGGAGGTACCCTCTTTCCAACAAAAAAAGAATCATTTTAATCGGTTCACAAATACCGGAGTTCACAAATACAGTCGAATTGAGAACCTCCTCCTTTTTTTTAAGTCGGTTAAAAATTTTACTGAACTAATGGCGGATTTCTTTAGTGTTGTACCATAATCTATCGAAAAATCATTATCGACTTGCAAAATTTTAATTAAAATCGATTAATATTCCATTTGGGTATATTTTACTTCCTACGGGAATATCCGGGAATGTCTTGTTAGAAATTATTATTTTGCGTTTATAAATGCTCACATAATTACAAAAAGTGAATTTAAAATTTTAGAGTAATGATAACTCTTCGGGGAATGATATTCACACGTCTACTGTATTGCAATGAAGGAAAGTCTAAACTGGGAGGGAGCAGAGTTTTATCGTAGTTATAGTTTGGAGAACAAAAAAATTACTCCACTAGTTTGTTATAATTTTTAATATGAAGAAAAATTCCTTTGATCTGAATGGATACGAACCAGCGCCTTCAAGCAGTCCATGCCAGACACTGTCCTTACGAATTTCTCTATGTGCATTGTTGCAGAATTCTGTTTTTGGTTTTAAAGGAATTTTTCCCAATACCATTTTGTGAGAAATCTATTTTTTCACTCAAAGGATTTATTGGTTACCTTCAGCAATTTTTAAAATTTTCAAATCGTGTCTTCTCAATTCGACAATTTTGAGTTACGACAGAATTCGGTTTCATGTGCGAATTATGTCGGAGTGGTCACGTAGCATACAAAAAAGTATAGCCGAGTTGAGAACCTCCTCCTTTTTTAAAGTCGGTTAAATATCAAATATTGTTATCAACATGTGTGCTTAGACACACCAAGGTGACGTATTTATCATTTAAACCGTTTTGTTTTTTTTAATCAGTTTATCGCTGTCATTTTTGTCCGAAATCCTTCCATTAAGTCGCTCGTTTACACTGAACAAAACAGTGTTGTGACAATTTCTGTACCATTTAAACTTATTCCATGTTCCTTTCTAAATATATCAATAGTATTTGAAAGTTTTTAAAAGAACGTTTTATTCGAGGTAAGTTTATACATATTTTTTGTTTCTTCATTACAGTACGCCTATAGGTAAGTCTTGTGACATCAACTTTTGTCTCAGCATGACGGATGCAGTGACAGTGCCCCACAGATCTTTGCGATTTAAAGCTCGGAGTGACACAACTGCTATTGGTATATCAAGTGACGGAACTAACAAGTCGTGCGGCTGGCGACAAGCGACACGCCTGTCCGTAGCACGTGGCGCTCAGAGCTTTAAATCGCGAAAATCTGTGGAGAACTGCCAGTGCGCCCGTCACCAAGTTGACAAGTCCCATGTGCCTGTAACTTCACTAGCATCCTCGCCCACGATACGTTGCCTCGTTCACGTTACTGCTTGGCGGTAGAAATAGGTAAGGTGGCAGCACTTGCATGGACTGAACGTGAATGGATTCTTTCACAAGGAGGTCTACTACTACTAATGTTGAAGAAATAAAAGCGTTATACATATAGTATTGTTTTCAATTTGAATTTCAATTGTTTATTGCATATCACATTACAAATTTAAGAGGGAGCATGCCAAAAAAGTTTTGACGTTGGCTCCGCCCACATTTGTGAGACAAATATATGCCTGAAGTTCGCGTGACATGCGACAGGAGATGTCGAATTTTGCGCATTAAAAGTACCAAATTCGTTTTAGCGGAATAACTCTAAAACTAAAGGGATTAAAAAAAAATCCGTAGTGACAGTTCTCGATCATGCATATATAATTTTTGTCCTAATAATCTGTAGCATTTCGAGGATGAATCGAAAAAATGTGAAAATTAGAGGTCATTTCGTGATTTTTACCTTTCGAGGAAACTTAATTGTTTTATGTTTCTGATTAGTGTCTATGCTTGAATATATCGTGTAGTTACTCATACAATATTTTATTTTTAACTTTAAACTGAATATACCCTTCTAAAATCAAATCGAAAATTAGGAATTTTTCCTCTGCTCCCTCTTAAGATGGAACATTAATTGATGGTATACACGTGACGCCCTGCAAGGCCACAGCATCGTCTGAGGGCAAAATTCATAAATCACATTATTTAATTATATTAAAAATATTACATATTACATTATAATATCATAACATTACATTATTATATTACGTTATTACATTGAATTATTCTTAATTAGCAATGGAAAACATAATACAATACATTAATTTTAAATAATTATTAATGAGAGATGTCGAAGTATTTTTATTTGTCATCATGTGTGTCGTTAAAAAAGTTTAATAAATTATGTAAGTCTTTCCATGTTTTTAATATAATTTGGTATGTGGTTATAAATTCTAATTAACATAGTGTGCGGAGCAGACGTAAGTAATTTTATTTTGGAGAAAGGTTTAAGGCTTGTTTAAGTTTCTGTTATTTCGTTTATCGTTCGTTGGACGTGAATAAAACTGTGGGTGCTTCCTAACAAACTTACATGACTCGAGAATATAGAGAGAAATAACGGTCAGTATTTCACAATTAACAAAATTAGGTCTACAAGATTCCATTTGGTCTATATTCATTATTATCCTTATACACTTTTTTTGCAGTATGAACACTTTGCCCACATCACAAGAATTTCCCCACAAAATGACACCATACGCAATGAATGCGCGTGTGCATAATAAGCCGTAATGTTTGTTGTATCTTTACATTAAAAAAACTGAGCATTCAAATTTACCGTTGATCTAAATAGATTACAGAGGTCGACAAATAAGAGATCACAGGGGTCTACACCCGTTCGATATCCGAAACAATTAATGCGTTTTGCGCACTCCGTCCGATTCGTATCCGGTTTCAGAACTCGTCGATATTTAAACCGAATCGTTGTATTGGACATCGTTCTCGAATCGAAGGGCGCTTTCCGAGCTATTCAGAACACTCCGAGTTAAATGTCTATCTGGATACGGTATCGTTATCCAACAGTGTTTACGGAGTTAGTCGGTGTAATAGATTATAAGAAAAATGTTCTCATATACATTTTTGAGACTTTACATACTTTATTATAACAAAATCGAGACGTTATTTAAAATAATAAGAGATTTCTATATAACATATAGATCCTTGCTTTGTAAACAATAGGACGTTCGGTAACTTTAATTCGATAACTGTGTTCTGAGTAAAGTTTGTAGCCTTTGCCGGTCGAGAAGTTGGAGTAATCGTACGGGTGTGACGTCATTTCGGTTCGGTTTTTAATACGACAAAAAATGAAAAGAAATCGGACGATCGAGTTCTTAGGTTTTCGCGATTATTACACATAGGGAATGAAACTATTTCTCCGGATTTAAACCGATGTTTCGGGCCCTTTACAGGTCCCATGGACACGGTTGACTGAGGTGGTACAAGTCTTCAACCAGTTATGTCTAATATTAATACAAACCACCCTATTTTTTTCACTATAGTTTGTTGTTAGTTGTTTGAAAAAACAAACATACGCGATTTATATCCGGAATCATAGTTTCATTTCCTAAAGCGTACGATGTCAAATCGAATCGGTCGACAACTGAGTTATCGTATGCTTCTGAATCGACCCGCAGTTTCGAGTCCGAGAAATGACGGTCTGAAATTTCACAGGAGTCTATCGGCGCGTGTACACGCTAAGAAAAGTCGCCGGGTCTATGCAAGAATTTGTGTCGTTTCTACACACGAACTGTGTACACAGTCTCGGCGCCGGACAAGAAAAAATTCTTGTCTACCCCCGACGCGACGCGCTCTGCCGCTATTGCATAGGGCGCATTGTCAGTAAACGACCAACCTCTCTATTTCCTCTTTATTTCTTTTGACAGTCGGTGGTAAAACGACAGCTACCTCGTCAATGCACTGACACGTTTACCCTACACACGTCTGCCCGAAGGAATTCGTATCGTGTACATAGTCATCATTTTCTTATCTGCAACAGACACGAAATATTTCCGTGTCTAGTTCCGACAAAATTCTTTTCGTGTACAAGGCGATTCTCATTTTTCAAGGTGACCATGGGACCTGTAAAGGGCCCGAAATGTCGGTTTGTTTGAAAAAACAAAATTCAAAAAAAAACAAACAAAAAAAAAAGCGATTTAAATCCGGAAAAATAGTTTCATTTCCTATATTATAATAATAATTATTAGTTTTATATTAATTATACAAATATGTTTACAAAAACTTACATAAAAACATTATTAAATTTTTAACATTGTTTCTCTACCCGTCGACCGTGTTAAAATCTAAAAAAAATACTCATTCGGCTTCGCCGTATAGAGTTTTTAATTAATAAATGAAATTCGTTAGATATTCTTTAAATATCACACACATTTAGCAGCATACATTTTAAATAAACAAATATTATTCGACAGATGGCAGCACCAGCTGTGGGCATCGATCTTGGTACTACGTATTCCTGTGCTGCAGTCTTCAGGAATGGCAAGGTAGACACTATACTGTGGTATTTTAAGGTGCACCCACACCGCAGTTATTCTTTACATTAACAGCTTAGAATATACGCAATATCAAAGATTTTTCGGCGAATATTTAGAGGTAATAGATTCAGATCCGTACAGAGTCGTGGGTAGTCGCATGAATTATAAGATTTACTCATTTTATAGCATAAGAATTTAATAAATTTATTTTAGACTCGTTCAATTTTGTCAATAGAGACTTGGTATCTCGGACTCCAAATTTGGGAAGCATATTCTATTACTACGAACATGCACAATATAATATTCGTAAAGTTCTTGGCCTTGAGCAACAGACTGAGTTACGCATTATGAATCCAAGAGACTTAGTAGCCTTAGAGATAACATCATCAATATGAGCATCAAAGATCAGCTTTGAGTCATGGATGACACCCAATCCCTCATGACTGTATTTCGTTCTAGACAGCGGGTTTTCAAATAATAAAAAGTAAAATTAGTTTTGACCTTGCGTGAAAAAGTCATTAAAAAACATTTGGAGGGGTTAAAATCTAATTTATTGCTCAGACAGTAGTCATCCAGCCGCGATAGATCAGACTGCAGAGCAATAGCATCATTAACAGAAGTGATTTTGGTATAAATTTTCATATCATCAACAAAGCTGAGTAAATTGGAAAAGCGGAAGCAATTACTAATCTCATTAATAAATATATTGAAAAGGAGAGGCCCTAACAAAGGACCTTGAGGAACACCGCTAGGTATGGTAACCCAACTGGATATAAAATTATTTACTACCACTGCTATTGATCTGTTGCCTGGTATGAAGAAAACCACCTAAGAACCTCACCTCACCTCTGATACCAATCATAGCGAGTTTAGTCATAAGGATGTTATGGTCAATTTTATCAAAAGCCTTATTATAATCTGTATAGATGACATCTACTTGATGACCACTGTCCATAGACTGTGAGACAAATTCGTTCAATAATATATGATTAAATACTGTAGACCTATGCGGAAGGGAACCATATTGGGTGTGACTAAAGGAATTATATAAAGCATTATAGACTTGGGTATGAACAATCTTTTCCAATACTTTCGATAAAATGCACAATTTAGAAATTGGTCTGTAATTAGTTACGTCGGTTTTAGGAGAATTCTTTAAGACAGGGGTAACAAACGCGCGTTTCCACAGTACCGGCACGTAGCATTCAGTAAACGAACGTTAAAATGGTAATAATACTGGCTTAGTGATGCAATTAGCACAACTATTTAGAAATAATGCCGGAAGTGATCTGGACCAGCTGACTTGCTCGGATCCAGTTTATGTAATGATCTGGTAAGCACATCAGAATCTATTTTGATACTTGCAATATTAGAAACTGTCTGATGATCAGTACCAACATCAAATTCCGAGACATCGCAAGATGAGGTATCCAAAAAAGTTGTTTTAAAATAATCGGAAAAGGCATTGCAAATATCACTACCAGTACTAATCATAACAAAGGTGACAAATGGAGGGATGAATGCGGTTTATTGGTTTTCACCCACTTTCCGTTAATCGATTTCAATAAAACTGTGACGATGTGACCTCCTTCCATCGTTATCCTACTTTTTTATTACCTTTTCTCTGGTTGCTGGCCACTTGTTTTCAAATTGTGAATCGTTCTTTAAATCCTTTGCCTCGCCATTCTCATTTTGTTTCGTTGCGTCGTCACTCTCTGCCCAATCATTGTAGCGAGTAGTACTGCTCGCCTATTTCTGACCCGTTTACCAGTTACAAAAAACCTCTTGTGCGATAAACATTTGAACGATCACAAAAAAACCGGATTTATTTGCAATATTCTTCTTCTTCCTTTTTAGAGTTTAAAGTTCTTATCAAAACGTGTGGTATCTAATTTAAACTCGCTTAGCAAAACGTGTGGAGACTGCGGAGGCTACATTACAATCTACTTAACCCCTTCATGGACAGTAACGGCGTTGACCGTAAGATGAAAAATTCGAATATGGACGGCACGGGCTATCCCGTTTCGATATATGGATCTTATAAAAACTACTACGGGCTTTACCGCGCGAATTTCGAGTGCTTTCTTTGTAGTCGCCGCCTACTGCCTCTCCATAGAGAAGTATCAACAATGTACTGACAAAATTGAATGATTTATTTAAGATAAATTTGTGGACGTTACACATACATATTTAATATGTGCACACCAAGACAGTACGGTGAATACCGACGTGTTTGTATGAGGTGATGTAAGACCGTACATGTCAGTGCGTCGCCAGTGACTACCTTTTGTGGTTGTGTACTTTATTTTTACGCTGGAACTTTCTGACAGTAAAATATCTTTCAATTTTTTTTCAGTTTTTATTTATAATAAACATTCACAGTGCTCTACCGACTGACTAATTTTATTTATACTGGTCATAATTATAAGCTAAGACTTCAATCCCTCTTGCCCCAGTGATCCTCTGAGGGCACGTGTCCACGCTAAAAAAGACACCGCGTCTTTGCAAGAATTCGTGTCGTTTCGAGAAGAAAAAATCTTGTCTACCCCCGACACGACGCGTTCTGCCGCTATTATATGAGGCGGGGTGAGGTGCACTGTCAGTAAACGAACGTTTATGCGTGTGGACGGGTGTTGCTTAGTAGTCAACAATATATAGAACAACATGTTTCTTCCCACAGTCGGTAGTAATGCGAAAGCTACCTGTGTAATATACTGTTACATTTTATCTGGATCCGATATAGTTCTTATCGTGTACCAGGCGATTCTCATCTTTTCTGTAGCAGACACGTCGAATTTCTTAGCGTGTACACGCGCCCTTATCCCGTCAGCTCTGAAAGAAGTCCGATTCCCTATTGCTTGGTCCTTCTCGTTATGTCACATTTTTAACCGTTGAGCATATTTTTTTAAACCCTAATAGAATATTCCTAAGGCTAAAAAGATTACAAAATGAATATTTGTAAAGGTGAACGTGATACTTAACCCTGAAGGCAACCGCGTCACGCCGTCAAGCGTGGCATTTACGTCTAACGAACGACTGATCGGTGACGCCGCCAAAGCCCAGGAGATGGTCAACCCGGAGAACACTATTTTCGGTATGTTAATTAAATTAACTACTCAAACCTCACACAGTCTCAAAAAAAGAAAAACGCCTTATTTTTGGAGTGTAAAAATTATAAGAGAAAAACAAAATTTTATGAAAAAAACAGAAACAAAAAAGAAAATAAAAGCAGAACAGGTCCAAAACTTAAGTTGGCGGCTTTAGTGTTAATTGGAGGTATCGATGTCATTGTCGAGTCTTATTTTATTTAATTTTAATTAATTTTCACTTTTCTGTTTATCCTAATATTTTTTTGTTAAAACAAACGAAAGTGAACCTCATACCGCTGCAATATGGTCGATTCTTTTTTGGGGAACTAAGTGATGAGTAAGTAAGCGTCTTGAATTCATCGTCGGTCACCTATTGACCGGTAGATGGCAGCACATTGATTGAGATTTCAACACAAATTCAAAATTCGTAATTTGCAATAAAAGGTGTTGAACTTTCAACGATATGCCAACAGGATAAAGTTCAAATTATACTAACAGTCTAAAATTTGTTTTTTTTTTAAATTACAAACTACGACCAATCAGTATCAAGGTTTTGTAATGTTTCAAATTACAAATGTGTGAGTTTTGGCGACAGCGGTTCTGGTAATAATCGAGGCTTTAGACTTCCATTGTTTTTTTCTTCTGTGAAATTAACCATTACATATTATGTGATGCTGTGTAATATATTATAGACAGGATGACTAAAGAAAATAAGATAAAGTTATTTAGATCAGATAATACATAAAGTTACGAAGCCACTCAGAGCTTTAAACCGCAAAGATCTGAGGGGCACTGCCACTGCGCCCATCGCCCCGAGATATAAGTTGACAAGTCCCATGTGCCTGTAATTTCACCAACACACTTGGTTCTAATGCTCACATCACTGCTTGACGACAGAAATAGGTTCCCTGAACGAACTCGGACACCTACTTTTCTACTTACTGATGCCTACGTTTCTTTTGTGCTGGTGATTACAGAATGGCGATCGAACGCAGTTGTAACTATATTATATCTTTATCTATATATCCTTGCTTTTGTGACTTTATTTTTATTTTTAATATTAATGCATCTTATCTTGATTACAAAATTTTCTTTCAATGTTTTTGCTCTTGGTATTGAAGTTGGCTGTTTTTTGTTGTTTATAAAAGCTAGAACTATACTGGATATGTAAGAAATTTGTGAATGTACCAAAATTAAACTTAAACTCTTTGTGTTCTGCCATTCATATTTTATAAGCTTATTGTAATATACTTAGTTGTTGTAATAGACTAAGTTATTGTTATTTTTAGGCAACACATTTGACGGACGTAAGACCTAGCTACCGATAGTACAGGGGGTCTTAGTTTGGGAGGTACAGAGATGTGCCTACATATCTGTACCTATGTAATTTTGCAATTAAGATATAATATTATTATTATTATATCTACTTTAGACGTCGTCGTCGTCGTCGTCGTCGTCGTCGTCATCTTTATCATTATCATCATCATCATCATCATCATCATCATCACCACCACCACCATCATCATCATCATCATCATCATCATCATCATCATCATCATCATCATCATCATCATTATCATTATTATTATTATTATTATTGTTATTGTTGTCGTTGTCGTTGTCGTTGTCGTTGTCGTTGTCGTTGTCGTTGTCGTTGTCGTTGTCGTTGTCGTTGTCGTTGTCGTTGTCGTTGTCGTTGTCGTTGTCATTGTCATTGTCATTGTCATTGTCAGTGTCATTGTCACCGTCATCATCATCATCATCATCATCACCATCACCACCATCATCATCACCATCATCATCATCATCATCATCATTATCATTATTATTATTATATCTATTATAGACTCTCGCCTCCTAAAAGATTAATTTTGAATTTGTAAATGGGAGAGGCGGTATTTCCCGGCAATGGCACAGTCGGCCGGGGTCAGGGACTCAGGTCCAAGAACCGGCGAACTACTACTAGCGAGGCTGACTAGAATTAACCCATTTGCGGACAAAACAATTGGGATTATTAGGGTATAATAGGAAATATTTTCAGTCAACTACAATTTTTATTCAATTACTTATTCTTACCATCCAATATTTTAGTGATTCTTCGTTTACTGTCTACGTGTGGTTGTTGATTGAAAAGCATGTCGTGGATGGCTTCAATGTTGGCTTCAATGTCAGTGACAGGTGAACTTAAAACCAATTAAAATATTAAAACATTAAACGTTTTGTATTACTCCACACTAAATAGAAACACTGGTTGTGTGGCTGCCAAAGACATGAAAAATAAAGGGAGATGTGCCATGACGCTATGTTACTTCGCAACCCGATGTCGCACTTTGTAGCTTTTATACAACTCAATCTTCACGCTTTATTATCTACTATCCTAAATAAACCATCTTGATTGGTTAGATATTAGTTACTCTAAATAAATGTTGTAATAATAATGGTAATAAAAGAAATCAAGTTCTTAGGTTTTCGCGATTGTTACACATAGGAAATGAAACTATTTTTCTGGATTTAAATCGCGTATATTTGTTTTTTCAAACAAATATTTCCTCTAATGAAAAATCCCAAACAGACATAAGACTGCAGTACTAATTAATATGTTTTAGTTTATTCTAATTTCTATTATTAATTAATAATAAATTGAACTTAATAAAAATTCATCCCAATAAAATAATTTGTAAAACTTAATGTAGCGTAAATTGGAATGTTTTCTTTGTGAAATTAAAAACTAGGTATTTAATTAATAACTATTGTAACTATAGTGAAAAAATAGGGTGGTTTGCATCAATATTAGACATAACTGGTTGAAGACTGTACCACCTCAGTCAACCGTGACCATGGGACCTGTAAAGGGCCCGAAACGTCGATTTGTTTGAAAAAACAAATCATCAACCAGTTATGTCTGTCTTATTTTTTCACTATAGTTACAAAAGTAACTAATTAAATACCTTATTTTTAATTTTACGAAGGAACATTCCAATTTACGCTACATTATGTTTTACAAATTATTTTATTTTAACAACATGAATTTTATTAAATTAAATTTATCATTAATTAATAAAGGAAATTGAAATAAATTAAAATATATTAATTAGAACTGCAGTCTTATGTATATAAATATATTCATAGGGCAACTTCGTGTACAATCTATTTAAGAGAACTTAACGTGCTCAATAAAAAATGTTTATATTATTTTTTTCCATTTTCACTCCTAAAAATTTGATAAACAATAGAAAGAAAAAAGAAGAAACTATTTTTCCGGATTTAAATCGCGTAGTTTTGTTTTTTCAAACAAACATTTCGGGCCTTTTACAGGTCCCATGGTCACGGTTGATAAATCCGGAAAAATAGTTTCATTTCCTATGCGTAACAATCGAAAACCTAAGAACCCTATATGAATAGAATATGAGTTTAATAAGTTTTTGATAAATGCGGGTGCCTTGTTACAGACGCAAAGCGACTCATAGGGCTTCGATTTGGTGATCCCGTGGTACAAGAGGATATAAAGAACTGGCCCTTCAAAGTAGTGGAAGGACATGAAGGCAAGCCCAAAATTGAAGTGAGTTTTCAGGGCGAAACCAAGAGTTTCTACCCTGAGCAAGTGAGTGCGATGGTGCTGTCCAAACTCAAGGACTCGGCAGAGGCGTACCTAAGACAACCAGTGCAAAACGCCGTGATCACCGTGCCAGCGTACTTCAACGATTCGCAGCGTCAAGCTACCAAAGATGCTGGCACTATCGCAGGCCTCAACGTGCAGCGCATCATCAACGAACCAACTGCTGCTGCTCTTGCGTACTCGCTGGACAAAACCAATGAGGACGCCGAATGTAATGTGCTAATTTTCGATTTGGGTGGCGGTACTTTTGATGTCTCTGTATTGTCAATAGAGTATGGCATCAATGAGGTCAAAGCTACCGCTGGTGATACCCACTTGGGTGGTGAAGATTTTACTGATCGTATGGTGCAGCACTGTCTAAAAAAATTACAAGAGAAGCATCAAATAGATTTCAGTACAAATAAAAAAGTCCTAACCAGAATTAAAAACTATTGTGAGCGCGCGAAGCGTATACTGTCCACAGTAATAACAGCTGATATTAATATAGATGCATTGCATGAAGGTGAAGATTTTCATATTTCTTTCAATCAGGCGCTGTTCGAAGAGTTGAACAGGGATCTTATGGAGAAAACATTAGGATATATGGAAAACGTGTTGCGCGACGCGAAAATGAACAAAGCCGATATCGACGAAGTCATTCTTGTTGGCGGCTCGACCAGAATTCCGTATGTCCAAAAACTGGTGATGGATTTTTTTGATGGTAAGCAATTGAACAAGACGTTGAATGCTGATGAGGCTGTTGCGTGTGGTGCGGCAATACAGGCAGGGATTATGGACGAGAAATCGGAAAATACATTAGACCTGGTGCTTGTGGACGTGACACCTCTGTCACTTGGAATTGGCACTCTCGGTAATGTGATGACTAAGTTGATAGAACGGAATACTGTTGTACCTGCATCGGCAACGAAGGTTTTTTCCACCACAGTGGACAATCAAACGCAGGTAATTATAATATAATTGTAATCATAATTAGATGTCCAAAATGTGAACAAAGGGGATAACCGAGCAAAAAAATTTTTTTGTTTCCTATTTTTGACGATAATAGACGTTTGACTTTTTTAAAAATAAAATATAGGTGCGCATTTGACGTCCATCTCACCTAATGGAAAGTGACGATGAGGTCGACGATGGAGCGTGCACACCTAAATAATTCGCTCTCACCTCGAAAAGGTCCAAGTTATGACGTTCAGGGAACAAGTCTGCAGGCAGGGAGTTCCACTCCATAGCCGTTCGCCATATAAATGAGGAAGCGTAATACTTTGTGCGAATCTTTGGAATATCCACAACATAGGGGTGGAACCCAAGCCTACGCCTAGTAGGTGATGGAAAGGGGAAGGCGGAATTAAATCGTGTAATTCCATCGCGCACTCTCCGTGATATATCCTGTAAAATACCGATAAGCAGGCAACTTTACGACGGTGTTCAAGGCTCTGCAGCTTCGCCTCCACTAATTCCGAGTCACTTATAAGCCTCTTGCCACGGTTGTCAATTGAATCCAAAGTGGCCAGTTGATATGTAGCAGAGCCATCCCAGAGGTGGCAGCAGTACTCCATGCACGATCGGACTTGTGCTTGGTACAGCTAAAGCAGCTGTCCCGGTGTAAAGTAACGCCTCACCCTGGAAAGGATCCCAAGCTTACAAATAAATGGACGACGGGTCTAATACAAAAACCACGAAAAAAATGTCCCAAGTCAACCTATTTAAACGTAGTGACATGTAAAGGAATATGAAAAAGCTTTTAAATTGTAATGTCATCGCAGACTGTCTAATCTTCGCTTTCGCTGCTTCGCTGTCAGTCGAACAAACGAAGACTAAAGCGTGAAAGACGCTCTGTATATGACTTTAACGCCCTATAAGTTCGGACACTTTTTAGCGCGGACCCGACGTCCATATAATTGTAAGTCAATGCTGTAATCTGATAAAATTCTGACTATCTAAATATACTCGTAGTATTAACTTAATTTCGTTTAATACAATAAATATTATATAATAAATACAATCGGAGTCAAAAATATATTTTGTGCCGCCATTTTGTTGTGTCATAGACGTTGTAATATAATGTATATTGAATATTACGGTGTTATACTACCATAATCAGTGTTGCCACACTTTTGCGAAGTTAATTCGCCAATTTATGTGTGTTAAGTAGCCGATATTCGCCCAAGCCACAAAATCCTTAAAAATCAAGAAATTCTACAATTCTGCTTGCGGCCGGACATTGGAACCCCCAAATGAGTTTTACAACTTCATTCCCCACAAAGTTCCCAATAAAATTTTTAATTCCCCAGACATTTTATTAAGTAGCCTAAAATCGCCTTTTCCTATTTTAAAAATAGCCTAAATATCGTCGAGTTGCCAACCACTTTTTTATTCGCCGCGCGACCCGTCGAAGTAGCTGGCGAAAAATCGCATAATCTGGCAACAGTGACTATGATATTATTATTTTTTTTATTAAATTACTCCACTAGTTTGTTATAATGAATAATACAAAAATCGAAGGTTTCTTACAGATGGCGCTAGAAAATTGAGAAATTTGTAAGGCCCGCGGGTACCTCAGTTGGGAGAGCGTCAGATACGGTGTGCTTATCGAATCCATACGGATCGAAGGAATTTTCTTTAGTATTCGATCTTTGTATTAATAATTATCATAATTTGTTTTCAGGTTCTCATTCAAGTTTACGAAGGTGAACGCCTAATGACACAGGACAACCATCTTCTTGGTAAATTTACGCTTACCGACATCCCGCCAGCTCCGAAAAGGGTTCCGCAAATCGAAGTCACTTTCGATATTGACGAAAACGGTATCCTCAGCGTGTCAGCTGTCGAACGTAGCGGGAATAAATCGGAAAAGATCACCATTACAAATGACAAAGGCAGGCTTTCGAAGCAACAGATCGACAGTATGATCAGAGAAGCGGAATTATTCAAGAAGGAAGAGGAACAAATGAAAATCGTTATTAAGGCCAGAAATGAACTCCACGACTACTGCTTTAGGTTAGTGTATTTTTATGACAATATCAAGTGATGGGACCACGAACCAGAAGGCGTTCAGTGGGACGACCCCTAGATGGACGGATGACCTTGTAAGGGAGCGGGTTACCGATGGATGCACGTCGCGTCCGATCGGCTGGTCTGAAAATCTTTGGGGGAGGCCTATGTTCAGCAGTGGAAGTCTTCCGGCTGCTATGATGTTGATGATGATGAAGTGATGGGATTTGCCTGTCCATATAGCAGTTGCAGTGTTATACAGAGTTTTAAATCGCAAAGATCTGAGGGCCACTGCCGCTGCGCCTGTCACAGTGGGACAGTAGACAAATCCTATGTGCCTGTAATTTCACCACCCTTATCCTTCTAAACCGGAACGCAGTAATGCTCACATTACTGCGTGGCGGCAGGCAATAGGCAAGGTGGCAAAACAACCTGGACAAACTCTTTCACAAGGACCAACTAAGTTTTGATGTCGGTTTTTTTCATAAAAAGGTTATCACATGGAAATAATGAAAATAATAACTTAGAGTCGAAACACAATAATGCGAATGCAGAAAAATGCGACGCGAATTTCTGCGGTGCGATTTCGTGCGGGAAGGAATCTCGCTGCCGCGGTTCGGGTAACCATTCGTTCGACGATCGTCAATCGTACGAAATGTATTTTTTAAGCTAGGTAGCGACATGGATCGTAAAAAGAGTGTTGCACTCATTGACTTACAATTATATGGACGTCGGGTCCGCGCTAAAAAGTGTCCGCACTTGTAAGGCGCTAAAATCGTATACAGAGCGCCAAACTCCGCTTTAGTCTTCATTTGTTCTACTGACAGCGCGATACTGCGATGAGATTACAATTTAAATTACGAATAGGTTGACTTGGGAGATTTTTTTCGTGGTTTTTGTATTAGACCCGTCGTCCATTTATTTGTAAGTCAATGGTTGCACTACTGTTATTCATAAGAAAACATAGGGAAAACACACAAAGAAGATTAATACCGCAGGAGTTTTGTGTTGCCCTTACATGAAATAAGTTGAAAAAGAAATCATTATAAAGCACAAACACAAACAGCCGAATTGAGAACCTTTTTTACGTCGGTTAATAAAAAGCACTTTTGAGGTTAAAAGAACCGTGGCAGCCTAAGGGCGCATTTATTCAACACGAATTTCATTGCGCTGACCCTGCGCGGTGACTGCGCGGTTTGTATTACTCAGAGGAATTTGAATGTAATTGCCTAGTATATAGAATCCAGATTCGCCATTAATGTACGGACAACGGTACATCAGACGACACATTTTTGTTCGAAAATCGCCTCCAGTGCAACGGAACAAGATGCGTCAATATGTAGCTTGATGTAACTGTGTTTTAGTAGCAGTAGAGGTCCTTGTGAATGAGTTCGTCCAGGGAAGTACTGTCACCTTACCTATTTCTGCCGCCAAGCAGTAATGTCAGCATTACTGTGTTCCGGTTTTGAAGGGTAAGGGTGTTGGTAACATTACAGGCACATGGGACTTGGCAACTTACGTCTGAGGATGACGGGCGCAATGGCAGTGACCCTCAAATCTTTGCGATTTAAAGCTCTGAGTGTCACTGCAACTGTTATGGACAGGCGTGTAGCTTACCATCAGGCGCACGACTTGTTCGTCCCGTCACTTGATATTAATGAAAAAAAAAACTGGGCACTTATGGTGTTCTTAACCGAGTTTCTAGGAATTTATGGGTGAAATTTAATTTGAAATTTACCACGAGCTTTTCGGTGAAGGAAAACATCGCAATGAAACCTGAAGGTCGACGAAGGTTGACAACCCTCGGTCAACATGTGAAGTCCCCAACCCGCATTGGGCCAGGGTGGCGGACTATGGCCTATCGTGAGACGTACAAATTAGTTGATGATAAATTTTTTTTCTTTTGTTTCAGTATGCGTTCGAAGGTCGAGAGCAAAGATTTCAAAAATCGCTTAGAACCCAAAATGAAGCAAGACATTTTGGACAAGTGTAAGGACACGCTTAGTTGGCTTCAGCACAACCAAACAGCGACAGCCGAAGAGTTGAATAGTAAACTATTCGAACTAAAACTAGTATGTGTATCTATTAATGAATAGTAATTACAGGCCATCGAGTATATAACCAGAAATAGTATAAACTTTATATGCTTTTCTAAATGTATTAGTACACAGCCAGCGAGTAATTTTGTAATTAAAACTCATTGCTGTGAACCCGGACGACGTGATCCCTGTACATGCCCACACATTGAAAAACTATCATCCACTAAATACCTTGGCATCATTATAGACCAAAGATTATCATGGTTTCAACAAATTGACGCAGTTTCTAATAGGATCAGAAAACTCACGTGGATCTTCAAAAGTCTAAGACATGTACTTCCGGCGTACCTTCTTAGAAGAGTGTACATTGTACTGGCGCAGTCCATAATAACCTATTGTATCCCCATATGGGGTGGAGCTGTAAAGACCCATTTTATTGATGTTGAAAGAGCTCAACGTTCTTTGCTGAAGGTAATACATTTTAAGAAGTATAGCTTCCCAACCGACCGTTTGTACTCCATTAGTGATGTGCTCTCTGTGAGAAAACTATACATCCTTCTTGCGACCTTAAAATTTCACAAACAGTTGCCATACAGCGAAAATAACCAGAAAAATCGTAGAACTTTCAGAGTATCTCATCGCACAAATAGTACCTTCGCTAGTAGACAAAATGAAAAACAGGCCTCTCATTTATTTAATCAACTTAATAAGCACTTAAATATATATCCTCAAACCTCATATAATTGTAAACATACTCTTATTGATTATCTTAAAACGCTTAATTATGAACAAACGGAAGCATTATTAAAGTTCATCACGTGACAATATGCACACGCACTCGGACATCAGTAGCCGCAAACACTGAAACATACACACTCACACGCTCGCATAAATACACTCATACACATGCACACATACACACACATACACACACACACGCTCACATACGACACACACACATTTTTAATAAGTTCCTTCTAACCCGTAATTGGTAAAGTTGGAGAATTCAAACCTAAATAGTAAAATAAACAAGTACCCATTTGTACCAACTAACATT